TAAGTGAAACCATATGATAATTGACTTTCTCTGCTTGACTTATTTCACTTAGCATAATCTCCTCCAGTCCCCTCCATGTTGATGTAAAAGTTGGGACATTGTAGTAAATTGTTAAAAAGATGTTGTGGTTAGTAAATTGTTAAAAAGATGTTGTGGTTATGCTTCTATTTTCTGACCCGAATATGAGGTGAGGTTAAATACTGACCTGAGTCAAATTTTAGTCTGTTTTCCAGAAAGTGCCTTATAAATTATTCTCTTTTTATTATTCCTTGTTCCTGCCCCTCCATAATATTTAATACAAAATCACGGGTATCGAAGAAATAACAAAAATGCACAGATAAAGGTTCCCATGTTTTGTTTTGTTTTTTAAAGATTTTATTTATTTATTTTAGAGAGGAAGAGTGGGGGGAGGGGCAGAGGGAGAGAATCTCAAGCAGATTCTGTGCTGAGCAAGGAGCCTAATGTCGGGCTCAATCCCATGACCCTGAGATCATGACCTAAGCCAAATCAAGAGTCGGATGCTTAACGGACTAAGCCACCCAGGCGCCCCTATTTATTTATTTTAGAGAGAGAAAGCAGCGGGGGAGGGGGAGGGGACAGAGGGTGAGGGAGAGTCTGAGAATCTCAAGTAGACTCTGCACTGAGCAAGGAGCCTGACGCTGGGCTTGATCCCACGACCCTGAGATCATGATGTGAGCTGAAACTAAGAGTCAGACGCTTAACCGACTGAGCCACCCAGGTGGCCCAAGGGTTCCCATGTTAACATGGTACTTACTATATTCACACATACACTCCCCTTTTTCAAGTCAATAGACACACTTCCAAAGAGGATGGTGTGTGGCAGTCTTTCCACTAACCCAAAGAGGGGTTGCCTGAGTTTTATAAATTGCGCCTGGGTCACTCTGAGTGGGGGGAAAAAAAAGTTACATCTGTTTTTAATAATTTTGAGAAACGTAAAAGTTACTGAAAAGCACAAAGAAGATAAAAACAACTGTCCGTATTCCCACGACCCAGATTCAGCACTGTTACTGTATTGTCCTTTTAGCTCCCATGTTTTTTAAAGAACTAAAACATCAGTTGTGGTTGAAGTTCTTTTTAAACACCATCCTTCCTCCGCTGCCTTCCTCCCCCGCAACCTCAACTGCTGACAGTCACTATTATGAGTTTTCTGGGATTACTTCCATTTTATTGCTATATCTTTACCAATGTACCTATCATAATGATATATATGGTTGTGTTTTATATGTTTAAAAATGTTATATAAATGCTAACATATTACTCTATACTTGCTTTTTAATTCAGCCTTGTGTTTGAGATCATCCAAGCTGGTATATAGATCTAGTTCATCCCCTTTGTTGCACCATGTAAGCATTTTATTTTAGCTGTTCTGCTATTTCCAATTTTTTCTATTACAAACAATGCTACAGTGAATATCCTTGTATTTGTCTACTTGTATGCATCTATGAATGATTCTCTTTTAAGTGAGAGAAATATCTTTGTTTTCTCTGACCATTTATATTCTTGCTCTGTTATTGCCATTCTATTCTTTTTCATTGTGAATACAATGTAACAGAGACCCTACACACCCACATCTTAAACACTGTAATAGAAAACATGGCTTATCTATATGTGATTATAAATAGACTAGCATTCAGCATTGACCTTTACTTTAAGACAACATGGCTGTTCTAAAATATAAAATCTCCCTCCCTGGCTAGGACTTGAGAATATTGTTTTTCTTTAAGACTTGACTGTTACCACAATATCTTTTTAGCACCTGCCTATTAAAGCTAATTTTAGTGCCACCATTGTAACCTCCTACTGAGCTGGGAAGGGTTTTGGCTTGTGTGTGTTTTTGTGCTGTGAATTTCTGTGTATCATATTTTGCATTGAGATTTGCTTTTTTGTTTCTGGATGTTTGGGGGCTCCTAATTTCTCAAAGCAAAGTGTTTGAACTTGTTTTATTTATGAAGTAGCTAACATATGCAGTGCAATCCAGGATTTGAAAAGTAACTTCCTACACTTACTGGGTGAACACAGTGGACACCTAGGAGAAGACTTGTATTATTTGAATCTGATGTTAATTGATTAAAAATCTATACTTTTTTTTATCCCCATGAAGACATACAGGAATTGTGCCCTCCTTTCTTCTCTCACTGCCTACCTGGGCCTGGCCAGCATAATAATTCAGTATTTCTCAATCCTAGGACCTAGGAAAGTTTTTAAAGTATGTATGAGATAAAATATATAGAGAAGTTTTATATATATATATTTTATATGTAATATAAATATTGAAAAAAGCTCTAAACACATTTTGAAAATAGCTCTAAACACAGAGCTATTTTCAAACTGTGCATAATCACCAAGTTAGCGGAATTGGTTGGTTAAATCAGTTTAATTGGTTTCAGCCCCCATTTCTTACTGTTTATTCTGTTTTGTTTTATTTTTTATTGAAATAGAACTTACGTGGAGCACTAATTGTATAGCTCAGTGGATTTCACATTTGTGCATCTGCATAACCACCACCCAGACCAACACATAGAACATTTCTAGCACCTCAGCCGACTGTCTTGTACTCCACTCCCAGCTGCTACCCCATTGCTTTTATCTCTATCATTGTAGATTAGTTGTGACTGTTCTAGGCCTTCTTATTAGTAGAATTATATAGTATGTCAGGCTTCCTTAGCTCAACATTATGTGCCCCAGATATATTTTTAAAATATAAACGGAATAGAACTGAATTTAGAATATTAACTACACTGCCCCTTAATAATGACATATTATTAAAAAAAATTTTTTTATTAAGTAATCTCTGTGCCCAACGTAGGGCTTGAACTCACGACCCCAAGATCAAGAGTCGCATGCTCTAGCAGCTGAGCCAGCCAGGTAGCCCAATGATAGATACTATTTTTAAAAATGTACATATGTGGTATGTGTATATGTATTGGGTTGTGACATAAATGTATTTCTTACTGTGGTCGTGGTCAAAGGCCCAAAAAGGAAGCATTATAAGGCATTATAAGGGGCTTCACTGTTGTTATTTTTCCTCCTAGCTCTTAAGTATGTTAAAAATATTTTTATTTAAGAAGGTAGAAAAAGGGCAGCAAGTAATTTTTCAAAGGGAGAAAGCAAAAGAATAAAGAGAATGAGGATGTGCCGTCACGCAGTCCACATGCTGCTGTCCCACTCGGGATGCTTGTGTGGGCCTGCTCAGTGGTGTTGGGGGGCAGGTGGTGGAACCCCAGCCTGACTGTGCTGGGCTCTCAGCCCTTCACAACGCAGGGCCCCGAGCACAAGGGCGATTGTAGCCTAGTTTATAACCCTCTCCAGTGTTTTAGGGTGGGGACCGATTAATAACTGGTCCTCTTGATCTTAGGAGGAATGGTTCCAGAGTTGCAGAATCTGAAGTTGACATAGAGCGGGGAGGGGAGGGGAAGGAGAGCCTGTGTGCACACCTGTGCAAGAGAGGGGAGTTTAATCAGGGGATGAAGAGGTGAAGAGGTCAGCACCAGGGCTGGAGGGGTAAGGAAGGGTCCACTGGGAGATGAGGCCACAGTTGAAATAAGTTGCAGAGAAAGGACTGGAGCAGGGGAGGCAGGCAGGGGGCATTGGCCATGTGAGTTAATGGCAGGTTCCTCTCTGCTCAGCTCCTCTTTCTGCTTCATTCATCCTGTTGCCCCGGCTTTTGTCTTCCACTGTGACTGAGACAGAACAAACAGGATATGAGTGACAGGAAGTTGTTTTAGTACAAAAATAACTGATGTCTCATTTTGGAATATAATGGAGGGGCCCTTGACAGTATGGCAAGGGCGATACGGGCTTAGGTTTTCAGAATATGTTGTATATTCTTGGCCCTTGTGTTGCTTGTACTGTTAGTACTGAACATCTTTATTGTTTTCTTATTGAGGACACACTGTGTCTACCCTGAAGCCTGTTCTTTTCCTCCTGTTGTCTAATATGGAACTAAATACATGTTTGTTGTAAATGTAACAGCATGTGTAGAACACATAGTCTTATCAACATTATTATTAAATACACAAACCGTAAAGTTAGTTAATTGGTTTCTTCCCTATAAAGTCAAGGGGTAATGTAATCAGGTTGTAAACCCAATTGCTATTTATTTAGTAATTTCTTTCTGTGGTTATGTTTATCTTAGGTGTCATTGGCACATATATACCACCTCCTTGTGTAAGGATAGTATGAAGAAAACCCTCATGCTCCCACCGTATATTTTCCTTCACAGCTTTTCTCTTTTTGTGCTATTTTGGTACTCAAAGAACAGCAACTCACCTTACCTTGACTTCCCCATGTGGCTCTGAAAGAAAAGCATTGTTTCCTGTTAATGCGAAATTGCTCATGTTCAGTTACCTGATAATTTCTTTTTAGCGAGTGAACTTACCTTCCGAGGTCAGTCTTCCATGGTTGAACACAAGATATGGAGTACTAGGTCTCAAACTTTATAGTCTCACTGAGGTTGCAGGAGGGTCAGGCAGCTGGACAGTTTCACAGATAATCTTTTCTGACTTTTTTAAGCCAAGTCTGTAATAG